AATATACCACATTTACAAACAGTCTGACAAGAGGGGATGCTGCCATCCTCAGTTGGCTTTCAAAGGCCAAATAACTCCAGACCTGAAATCTTGCTTTGCGTCCTGGAGCAGGCAAAGCTACATACACTGTTATTGACCTGAAAAGTAAGACAAAAGTGTTTTAATCGACTGTTTCATGGAAGCGTGCCACAGTTAAATATCGACCTCATCAGCTCCAAGTGGAACTCATGTGACCAAAAGCACACATGTACAGTGAGACTATCTCCGTCTGCGCTAGCCAGCCCGGAGAGGAGGAGGCCTCAATAACTGACAATATCCATGCATGTGTGTGGATGAAGAGGAGGTGGGGAATGAAAAGAACTTGGGAAAGGCAGTTGGTTAGGCTGTTAGCAAGCCTGGCCTCTGTATGTGTAATGAATCCTGAATGGCATCTCCAGGAAACCAATGACATTTTACAAATTGCAAACTTCATACAAGCATCATATTATAAATGCTTTTTGTGCTGTTAACTAGGGGGACAAGGGAGAGTTGCAGGAAAATCAAGAGTGGATTTTAGAACATGTTTCATTTTTCAAAACATCCACGAAAGGTGAGTCCACAGGCACAAAATTATGCCATAGGAAACTTCACATAGCCAACATAAAGCCTCCTTTGCCTTACTTCAGTCAAGGCTAAGATACCCTGTCACCTTAACTTGGAAGGCGAGATGGGGGCAACTGTGTCTCCAGAAAAGGCACTGATTTTTCAAAGGAAATATTTCAAGGTGACAAGTGAAATAACACGGTATAACTCAGGACATTTAATGCCAAAGACCATGCCGGAGAGAATCACACTGGACAAATGTCAGGTGCTGAGGCTGAGAAGGGAATCTGCTCCAACACAGCTCACCAAACATTCCCCAGCTTCAGCATCAAGAGGACCTTATTCACTGGCCATCACAGTCTTCACCTTCCTCCTCGGCCCAGCTATTGTAGTGACTAAACATTTACTCCAAAATTCTGAGTGCATTGCTCTTTTTTTTCTAATTACCTGCCTACGGTTTTATAGATGGGACTGTGCTTACATTCAGCAGCAGCTTGGGTGTCATAGTGTCATAGGACTGTATAGGCTGGCAGGGACCTCTGGTGGTCTCTGGTCCAACCACCTGCTCCAAGTAGGTCCAGTTAAAGCAGTTTGCTCGAGGCTTTGTTCAGTTGAGGTTTGAACCTCTCCAAAAATGGAGACACCAAAACCTCTCTGGTCCCTATTTCTCTCATGATGAAAAAAATGTTTGTTATTGTCTAATGAGAGGCTTGTGCCCATTGCCTCTTATCCTATCATCTCCACGAAGAGTCTAGCTATCTTCTCTACACACGCGCATGAGGTAGTTGAAGACAGCAATATGGTCTCTTCTTCATGTTCTCCTCTCCAGACTGAACAAACCCAGCTCTCTCAGCCTTTTCTATACATCATGTACTCCAGCCCTGTGACCATCTTGGACTCATTCCAATATGATCATGTCTCTCTTGTACTAGGAACCTCAAACTGGACACTACCGCAGACTTTGTCTCACAGGCTCTGAAGAGAGGGGAATAATCATTTCCCTTAACTTTATGACTACACTTTTGCTAATACAACCTAGGATGTTGTTGACCTTGACTGCTGTAAGGGCCTTCTGCTGTCTTCTATTCAGCTTGCTGTTTACCGGGACCCTCAAGGTTCTCCTCAGCAGAACTGGCCCCAGCCTATCCTGTTGTTTGGAATTATTCCTCTCCAGGGACAGGACTTTGCATTTGCCTTCTTTGAACCTCCCAGCACAGTCATCAGCATTAAGAAGTGTCTGTCTGCCTTTCTTCCAGCCTGCCTTCCCTATGACATGCTTCTCACATTGGCCTCAATAAACACTAGCATCCCCTATAATTTACTTCCTAGGTGGCAGTTGCAGGGAGGGCAGGTTTGAGGGGTCTGTCAGCATTCATCTCCACAGGGTCTTTTGAGCTTAAGGAATGTTCCAGGGAGGAAAGAGAGAACCCCAAATGGATATTACAGAGACGGACGCTCATTTTAAGCATCCATCCTGAGAAGGGTTGCCTGAGGCTGGCAGTGCCCTGAGAGCATGTTATCAAAGATATTAGACCTATAAAGGGCACAAAGCTCAGTCTCTAGCTTTTTCACTAAAGAAAGATCATTTGCTAGAGAGAAGTGCCAGATTTCGGATGATTTACAACTCAAAGCAACAGTCAGGACCCTGGGAGCCAGTCCACAGTGCTAAGGTCTCATTTTGTTTCTATTTGTAGATCAAATTTTGATTTCCTTTTTAGAGTCCAACCTGGTAACTCTTCTGTCTGACCCAAAGGTTTGTTGAATCAACAGCAACTGGGCTTGACTGCAAAAGTTGTCACTGGTGAACAAACAGGGCCAGGCTAACCTGACTCTTTCAAAAATGAATCATTTTCCCAAATTGTAAATTTTAATTATCCACCACAGCTAATTCTGTAGAAACCCTATCTTGTCCAAGGGAAAGACAGGTGCCTCCAGAGTAGGATGCATCTCATCCTAAGGTAGCCATCTGAAATAGTTGGGATGAGCTGTCTGTTGACAGTACCAGGACCTCTTTGTTCATCCTGGAAGGGGCCTGGGAAGTAGACAATGTCTGTCTGGGATGCTTTCAGTTAGGTGAGAAGAATCTTGCTATGAGAAGACTGCAGTTTGGCCATACCGCTGAAGTGAAGCTGTCCACATATTGTCCTGAAAGGTGAGGGGGAGCATACTTTCCTTGGGAACATCTAACCATGCCAAGAGAGGATGATCATTTAGGGTGCAAGTGAGCTTAGGCAGGCAGAGGTGAAAGGAGAGAGGAAAGATCAGAAATAAAGGACTTTGCAGCATCCCGGCAACTGGAAGACTGCTGAGAAGGGCAAGAAGGAGACAAAACCTGGCAGGGGGCACCCTTACTTTTGCAGATGGCAGAGGCATCACTGCAAAACTGCATTTCTCCTGCCTCTCTTATCTTCTCTCTGCAGCAAGGTGGGGCATGGGATACAATTTCTCCACCCCAGAGAGGCCAAAGCATGTTTTGCTGGACTTACTGGGTCAGCAGGTAATCCAGCTGGGATTTTTGTCCTTGAGCCTGGGTCAGACTTGGTCACCCTTTACAGAGGTCACTACTAGCAGGAGATCCCCCTCTCTTGAAAAGTTCCCTCAGGAAAGGATTCTGCTCAGGATAAGGCTGACAAGAAAATCTGGTAGCTGAGGTTTGGTGTCCTGTTTCTGAGCTCTCGGGAAACTGCCCTTCCCAGGCAGCCTCTCCTGTGGAGGGTGGTGAAGAGATTTGGCTGGGCATCACCATCCTGTCCTCAGTGCCTTTCCTCCTCCCCTGGAGGCCATCTTCCAAGAAGCCCTTGGAGGACAACCCTAAGAGTACACTTGAACCAACGATTTCTGTAATTCTTCCCTGGAAAAATGGGATTGATGTTGTTCCTTAGAGGCAACAAAGGTTCTCAGAGTGAAATACCTGAGGACAGAGCAGGAACTGCAAGGGCTGGTGATGAGGAGGATGGAAAGGATGTAATAATGTGGAACATTCCCAAGCTTGGTGGAGTGGGTTTGTCTAGACAAGCAAAACATTTCTGGAAAAATCTGACTCACTGTCCTGTTTCATGGAGAACATCGCATTTTTGAATACAAATGAAGGATTCAGCAGTGTCAGTTTTCCAAAGTGTTCTTTCTGGGGGTTGCTCCCCTCTGGCTCGCAGACAGCGTGAAAGATGTTTAAAGTCATTGTGCTTTAGAAGAGGGCATAACATAAAGCCAATGGATTTTGCAGTGGTTGGCACATACTCTCATGGCTGATTTCCAGAGCCTGTCATCCCCCACCTGAGGTCTAGGGAACATGGGGGAGAGGGTGGAGGAGATTACGAAGAAATGGAGAAATATGAACAAGCAAGCCACAGCCTGGAGATAACCCTGTGTCAATCCGGATAAAAAGAGAAATTTTAGTAAGGAGAACATAGCAGAAGTGGGGCAGGATTCATCTCCAGTACTTTTAGCAATCTAAAATTAGGTATTTTATCTGTGCCAGTCACCTGGGTGCTCTTTAAACCCAGTGGAGAGAGATGAATGCCCCAGGGTGACTCATCCCATCTCCACACAGGTGTCTAGGTAGACAGAAAGAGTCACCTTCTGAAACTATTCCTCTCTCTCCACTAGTGCATGGGTAGCTGAGATATCCCATACAGATTTAGAGAGCTACTTTTGGGCAGCTGCAGCTGGGCAGGTGGTTCCCATCCTACATGAATCAAGGCACCTGGCTCAGTCTCCACCTCCGACCAGACACCCTATATAGCCACAGCCTGTCAGTATTTTTCTAACAAGCATTCTGGCTTAAATTTTACAAGGATACAAAAAAGGAGCAAAAGAGTTACTGGTAAAAGTACAAAACCTAATCTCTTTGCAACAACAAAACACTGTCTCAGGATGTTCTGCACCTTCTTCCATTCATTATGACTCATCAAAAGCCTGAAACTTCCCTTTAAAAAAAACCACTCTTCTACCCCTAGTTGAGGAGGGAAAGAAATTCTGCAGCTGGGCTTGGTTACTGTGCCTCTCTGAGGCAGTGTATCCTAAGGGGGATGCAAAACGATCATCACTACAGTATCCTTCTTCGTGTCTTTCCTGCTTTCTGGGAACCACCTTGCCTTCAGAGTCACCCAGACCACTTACACCCCCTTCACTGCTTCCATTCTCTGAAAACAAAACCAAGTTACCAGATTTCTCTTTGGCTTCTTTGACTGCTTAGCACATGCCCTGGAAACCTGCCTTACCCAGGTTAAGGAGAATATTATACTACAGCATGGCTTATCTTCAGAATGCAAACAAGAAATTCAAATCCAGCCTTTCAAATTCTTCTACAGGCTCCTGCAACCTTTCTGGCTTGCAAACAGTATGGAGTACATTTACTCCCCCACCCGCATTCAGGTTACAGTGAACATCAAGGCTGACAAAATCTATAATGGCTTATATATTTTTATTGACAATTTTCTGAGTTATCGCATCCTGACAATAGCTTATGACTGGAAACAACAGGGAGAAAAGGTGCCTCTGCAGGAGCTGATGGAGAGACATGGTAATGGTGGAAATGAATTTAGAGATACCTGTGTACCTAGACCCATAAGGAAGACAAAGTAAACCAGGAGATATCTGTCTTTAGCCACTCACAATTAGGTCTCTGATCGAAGCTAATTATTCAGACAACCTCTGCAGCTGAGAGAGAGAGAGCAATTGATACCTGTGGAGGGCAATTCATGCTGTCCTAAATCAGACTCCAAAGTAGCTGAGACAAAGCAGTCACAAAAGGTGCCCATCTTCCTGTGCATCAAGGAAGTCTTCATGGCTGTGTGGAAAATGCTGGCCTTTTAGACAGCTAAATGAAGTGAGATGAATCCCACCAGTCATCTGTGAATTTCCTTACCAAATCCTGGGCCAAAAATGCCCGAGTCCATCTCTTTCCAGAACACAGACATTGTCTCCTCAATAGGCAAGGAGTTTTCCTGTTTTCTGAGCTTATTGTTTTTATTAGGGAGTTTAATGGGTTTAGTTAACATGGCTGTATATCTGTACAGCAGCAAGTGATCGATTTTCATTTTCGCCTGTGTGGTGACTTGCTGCTTCGGGCTGGGCTAGGAGAAAAGCCAAAGGGCTGTTAAACTTCCATCACCACCTGAAGTGTCAAAGGCCACAGTGTCACTAGTTCCTGGGGTTGCTAGTTAATCATTTCAACCTGACTTCAGTCTGCTCACCTGACAGATTTTCTGCCTCTATCCTTCCTTACCAGCTACATTTTCCCAACCTTTCCGTTGTGGTCATATTCAAGTTAGTGCAGCTTTGTGGCAAGTCACACCAGGAAACAAATTTGGCTCAAAAGCAATGGTTAGTTCATGGGCAAATCAGAGCCAGCATACCACCCAGCTCTGTAATAGCTGGGGCTAACACACAGAGCGAGGAGGAACACAATCAGGGACTGAGGAACACAGAAAGCACATTACTCCTTTTACCTGGAGAGTGCCTATGTCAGGCTACAGGGATTCATGGCATCAGATAGGTCTTCTCTGTAAAAAGTCCGTTATTTTCCTTCGTTCTCCCTGTACCCTCTTTTACATTGAAAATCTAGTCTTTACAGAGTTTTAGGGCAGAGCGGTGCTTTTGGGGTTGTTTTGTTTTAACCATACTCCTCTTAGGTTTTTTTGGATGAGGAACAGACACACTAGAACTGGCTACAAGACCTCAGGTCATGGTTGCGAAATGGCGTTTGCTCAGGCTAACCATCCAGACAGCCCAGAGAAAAGTGGCGGAGACCACAACAGGCAGACAGTTCCAGTCAAAAATCTTTCATACAGACAGCATACATAATGGGCAGATGAAATTCAATTTACAGTGTTGTTACCAGAAGCAATGCGCTTTGGGGAAAGCCATCCAGAGATGATTGCAAACACATGCCTGCTTGCCTGTTAACAAAGCTGAATGTGAGGTCTACACATATTCTTTGCACGTGTCCACACCCGCTGGAGATGCACACACAAAGCTTTGCCCAGGAATTATTCTGCATTGCTGTGCCAAAATCTCTTATTCACCAGTTAAGCAAACTCATCAAAACACACCAGAAGGAGCTGTGAGCCTCCATGGATCTGTTTTAACAGAGCATGGGTTAGAGCAAGATCACTTTTGAAACAGGGAAAACTCAGACCTGTTGGATAGGACAGATTGAAAGCAAAGGTTTCAGTGGCTATTTCACCATCCTGTTCAGTGTTCATCAAGGCAGGAGTCTCCATGCCACTCAGCAAGTTTTGTTGCGTTGCAGCTAACTCCATAGAGTTGCATCCAGATCTGTACCAAAGTCATCTTCCTTGTCTTGCGCTGTTTCATGGGATACCTCCGTCCCTAGAGTATCTCCTCTCAGGATGGATGCTGCAGAGATTTAAACAGTTGTCTCCACTGTGTTTTCTCTAGGAGTTTCACCTCTATTTTGGGGCCCTGCTACATCCTCTAAAGCTCTCTGGAAAGCAATTCTAACAGAGGCTGTGAACTTCCTCTTTGTACAGCTCCCAGCCAGGAAGTAAATAACAGGGTTGATACTGCTGTTCACACAGGCAAAAGAGAGGGAGGTGTCAAAGACAAAAACAGAAAAATCAAACAGTCTTAGCAAGATCCAGTAACCAAAGTCAACAGTGAGGAAGGGGAAGAAAAAAACAAGGAGTAGAATGACAATATGGAGCTTACCTGGAGAATATTGCTGTGAACAACAACAGACCTGGGCAAATAGGATTAGACCAGAAAGAATCAAGAGAAGCACAGATAAGAGGTAGCTCAGGACAAAGACGATGAGCACTGTAGGAGAGAAATACAGCATTACAATTAGTAGGAAGGAAAGGGCCAAGAGCAGGGCACACACAAAGACTGGCAAGTGCTGGGGGAAGTGGCAGTGCCAGCGGGCTGGAAGAAGAATGGAAAAAGACATCGCGGCACTGAGGGCTGTCAGGAGGTAAACACTGCTGGTGAAAGCAAAGAGGATCATGATGTTCAATAGAGTTGTTACATCCCGGGAGCCCAGTCTGTGACAAAAGCTCTCTGGGCCGTAAAATATCACAAGAGCAACAGCCACGAAGACGAGGAGGGCAAAGTCAGCGGCAGCCAGGCTCAGGATGTAGACAGCAAAGGGGTTCTTGTGGATGTGGGAGCCGAGGAGCCAGAGGACAGTCCCATTTCCCACCAGCCCGCACAGGCAGATGAGCAGCGTGGCAGGGACTTCATTCAAATGAGTGACTTCACAGTCAGCCCAGTGGTAGTCATTGTCCTTATACGAGTCGCTCTTCATCAGCAGCCCCTCGAGCCAAGTCCTGTTATATGCCATTGCACTGTATTGGCTCCAGCAGGCAAGGCTAGCTCTTCCCATGGCAGGGAATGCTGTATTCGTTTTGAAACTTGCATTGCAACATCTTCTTCCCCCTCACACAGCTGGAGGGACAAGAAGATAAAGAAGCATGTTAATGACTGTGCTGCCCGCCACACTAGGCTTTTCAGATTGTTGCAGCCATGCCCCAGCTTCATAGAAAAGCCACATGGAGAAACACAAAGAGCAGCAAGGGACAGGAGGGATGGAGAAGACATGACCTGGGGAAGGCAGGTACACAGAGGTGGCTTTGGACCTTCCTGGCTTTGGACAGGAAAGATCTGGAGGAGCGCGATAATAAGAAGAAAGGACTGTCTTTAGAGATGTCAAAGAGCAAGTGGTTTGGGAAGTAGAACCCCTACAGATTCTTAGGTGGCTAATATCACAGTTAATATTATTAAACTGCTGGATTTCCCTCAGTGAAACATTCATTTCAGTATTCCCCTCCCACCGTTTTCCACAACATTTATAAGACCTAATTTCCTAGAGGTCACTATTCCAGATTTGCTGATAGAGGAACCAAATACAGGAGGGCACAAATTAGATTGGAAAAACACCACCCAGAAAAGTCTGACCTTCTTTTCTCTCACATCCTGGGGATCTTCAGTGGAGCAGACTTGCTTTAGCATTGCCTTGTGCTCACCAGCCACCATGAACAGATCTTCCCATGATGATTTTTGGAATTATCACTTGTAAGATGGGCACAGAGAACAGAAGACTGCCTCAGTGAGCTCACGCAGCATCCAACATGGGATCTCTCTGAGGTCCTTCCACAAACAGCTTTTCTCAGTGTTAGCCAAGCAGGTTAGGTTGTCGGCGATCCTTGCAAATAGAGAACTATTTCATAGACTATGAGAGTATCAGGGTTTCATCATAAAATCTATTCTTGATCTTGTACAGGAAGTTACTTACAAAAGAGAGTCTCAGAAGCTAGACCTATAGGAAAAGCAGAGAGTCTCTGTGTCTCATGTTCCTCTTTCATTTCGTTTTAAAGCAATCCCAAACTCCAGATTTTCAGATCTTCCTATGGCTGTTTTTTCTCCTATCTTTCCAGGGAGCATGTCTTTAGAATCCTAAACTACAAGCCTGTCATCCCTGTAAAATTTATATTTCTGATTCAGTTCTAGGTTTGTCACTTATATACCCCCCATCACCGTGATACCTTATCTTCAAATGCACAGTTCCCAACAGTGTGATACTATGTGCAACAAAGAGGTAACTAAATAACAAGATCTGTGCACGGACCAGAGCAGAGGCAGACAGTACAGAGATGACCTAGAATTTCAGGAAAAACTTTCATTTTCTCAAGGGACATGAATTAATGCAGCTCACCTGACTTTAGACATCTAACAGTTAGGGGGTCTCATCTGAGGTGTCTTCTACACTCCCTTTGTAGTCAGCAATGAAAAAACAACACCTGCAAGTTGTGAGTCATGCTATCTTAGGAAAAGTTGTCTCAACTGGTGGAATGAATTGATTTTCAACGGTACTTCTCTTTTCCCTTGGCAGTAGAGGAAACCTACAATGGTTTCCTAGGACAGGGCCACGTGATTTTTAGAGGGCTGAAGATAGGTGAGAGGAGTCTTACCTAGACTGGCTGCAGTGAAAGTGAAACGCAAACTAATCCTGACGTGCCTGGGAGCAAAGGATGTTCCTGGTGGAAAATGGGGTGTTTGGAGACTCCTGGGCTGAGCCAACATCCTTTCTCCCTAGCTAATAGTGCTTTTGTCTCCCTAACTACAGAATCTCCCATCCCCTCCCCAAGCAGATTCTTTCAATTGCAAACAGGAGGTCCTGATAAGAAAAGCTTCAAGGTACACCAGCATAAATTTATGCAACATAATACTCACTCCTCTAGCTATCCATGCAGTCTGTGAGGAAGCAGAATTATTCACAGTTTCCCAGCTTCTGCTTTCACAGGCAACATCCTGACCATGGCCACAAAAAACTTTGTTTTCAAACAGAAGACTTACTCAATTACTTATTTGCTCCCTGGGGTTCTTCAGCAGGTACACAGAAATGCACTTTACAATGGCCAACAGCACCCTAGATGTCTGTATGTCCGTCCTCTGCCCAACCTGGCACAGTACTAATCTCAGGAGGCACTTGTCTCTTTGCTTATCTTTGCTCTCCAGTTCAAAACCGCCTTGGAAGGTAAAGATTTGATTGCTGACTAACGCTGCCAGCAACATCAGCCAGGCTGGGAAGGATTTCCTCTGTAAGACTGTGGTGCAGGAGGGCACTAAACCAGAGGGAGCTGAAAAATGTCATTTCTGTCCCTCTCTATCATCTTCTCTGTTCTAGGGGCTTTTGAGGATTAAGGAAGTGTATGCTCATGACTTTAATATCAGGCCAAGAATACAGAATTGCAGAACACAGTAGAAGCAGGAACAGTTGGGCAACTCAGCTCGGGGAAGGAGACATGGTACAGACCTGGACCCAGGATTGTGGTCATGAAAGTCTGTTCATTCCTGTTAGCACTGGAGAACAGGCGAACAAATGACACATGACTTTCCAGCCCACATAATTTCAGCAGTACAAAGTAGTGGGCAGTGTCAGGAGACTCTCATAAATTTCTGACGATTGTAATTTTGAGAACAAGCAAGGGCAATCTATGGGGTTAGTGAGGGTAGAAATTGCAACCAACTTGAAATTACATAGAAGGCAATTTTATTAAAATAATTTAAATAGAATTTTGAGGTTTGATCCAGCCCCTTCAAAGTCTCATTGAGTCTGGCTGTGTCCCATGTGACACACTTTGTAATCCACCGCGGTTCCTGTTCACCCAGCCGCAGGGAGGACTCAGCTCCCATAGATGCAGATGAGGGATGTGGTAACTGGGCTGCCCCTCTCCAAATGCCAGTCTGCAGCCTGGATGGGTGGATGCTGTAGGGGTTTAAGTAGCAGTTCCCTCTGCAGGGGTCTCGCCCACCATTTGGGGATCTGTCTTATCTTCAAAGACCCTCTCAAGAGCAATTTTGACAGATCCCCTGAACCTGGACTTTCTGTAGCTCCCGACTAGGACATAAATAACTGGATTGATGCTGCTGTTGATGGATGCCAGCAACAGGGAGCTCTCCAAGACAAACTTAACATAGACAAAGAAGTTGAGGAAGATCTGAGCACTAAGTGGAATGGCAAAGAGAAGGAAGAAGAAAACAGCGAGGAAGATAACTGTGTACAGCCTTCCCGGGTGATGTTGCCATGAGCTATACCTAAGCTTGATGAGCAGGATCACATTAGAAAGAACCATAAAGGGAGTGAAAAGGCAAAAATTGAGAAAGCACAAGGTTGCGAGAACCATCCAGCAGTGTTTGGAGTGACCCAAATCACATACAAAGTACACAAGCCCAGAGAGCATGCAGGCGAGGGCCCAGAGCAGGCCACAAATGACTGCTGACAAGAGCTTTGGGCGGTGACATCGGCACCAAAAGGGCCAGAGGACACCCAGACACCTCTCCACACTGATGGCTGTGAGGAGATACAGGCTAGTGCTGTATGTGAGCAGAACCATGGAGTGAAATGGCAGGAGCACATGCAAAAGCTCTGGCTGAAAACAGCTGAGCATGGGGACATGGTATATTATGAGGAAAATAGATGTGCAGAGGAGAAAAAAGGTATCTGCAATGGCCAGGTTCAGGAAGTAGGCAGTGAAAGGGTTCCTCTTGATGCAGAAACCAAGGAGCCAGAGGATGGCCCCATTCCCAAACAGCCCACACAGGCAGATAAGCAGTGTAATGCTATCAATGATAATTTCAGGGATGTGGTCTGTAAAGCCTCTAGTCCCGTTGTGTCCATCCCCACAGACCAGGTTGCTCTTCACAGAAGATGGGGACACTGTAGTCAAATCAAGCACCATGTTACTGGAATGCAGGTCCATATTCTTCCTTGTCCTCTTGTACTCACCTGGGAAAAGGGAAGAGATGAAGGGAAAATTAGTGACACAGTCCCAGTACTGTGCTCCTCTGGTCGTTCAGTCTTTCCCCCAGCTTCATGGGCTAGAACATCTGCAACCCAAAGAACACAAGTATGAACTGAGTAGAGAAAGTATGACAAGGGTGGGTACAAAAAAAAAAAAAAAAGAAGAAGAGAGAAATCAAGAGAAATAGGGAAAGGAGGAAAAAGCCTGGGCCTATGAAGAAATAAGACAGAGAGCTGAAAGAGAAGTATGGAAAAAGAAACAAAAGGCATGCAGGAGCCGTTTGCCCCTTAAGGACTGAAAAGGTTTGAGGAAAAGAGAAAGACAGAGAAAGGGAAAAACTGAGTGCCTTAGTGATAGGAAAGAACCCAAGCACTGGCCTCCCTCTCACCAGGTACGCAGAGGATCCAACGAGGGCAGATTCCTTGCGCAGTCTTGATAGTCCAGAGCTGCAAATTCCAGCCGTCTCTGTCAGACTTGCACATGAAATTTTAAAAGGCTGGCATGCCAAAACCCTCGCAGATATGATCTGACCACCAGGACCAAGGTAACTCCATGCTAAAGTTCCTCTGATGGTCCTTGTGCTGGGTCTGACACCCTGTCGCTTCCTCAGCTCTAACCTGAATGGGTGTAGGGACTACAGCCCCTGTGTTTCTCACAGGGGCGGGTGACGTCTGGGTATCTGGACATGTCAGGGCTTGGTCATCACTTCTGAGAGCAGCGGAAGCAGCTTGCCAAAGTATCACCCTCACAAGACAGACACTGCAGACAAATCTACTCATTGCTTCAAACACTTCCTGTTTCTTGTGTTGTTTGCAAACTGGCCGTCATGTTTAGCATGAAATTTTCATCTTCTTTTTTGGTCTTCTCTTCTGTGCGTGACTGCAGTGTCCCTGAGATGTGCTTTGGTTCCTGCCTGTGTGCATATCTACTCATCACTGTTAAATAAAAACCCACTGGACCTCATATCCCCTCGAGAACCCCAGGGAAATTAAATTAAACACAGCCTGCTGCTCACTGACTGTCATGCCCCACTTGCAAGAACTGAATAGCCAGGCTTAACAATCCAATGTTTTGTGAAGGTTGGGGAGGAAAACCGTATAACGTGCCGTACCCAGCAATCCACTTTTCAAAGTACAACACAAACTCTGTATGGTCTCCTTCTCTGATGTCCAGACAAGGTGGCTGCCGCAGCAGGTAGCTGGCTGCTTCCATACTCTGTCCCGTACGTCTCATCCATGCTTTGAGTTGCAGAGACACAGCATGAGTTATCAGAGGGGATTACTGCTCATGACTCTAAAAGCCTGATTTCTGTGGGGTGGAAGCCTCCTCCTGCCAGTGGTGCCATCCCTTTGCCCTACTTTAGACTAATTCTGGACCAAGAAGATCTGTCCTATTTCATTTTTTTTGCTGTAGAATGAATTTAAACAAATCGGTCAGAAGAAATAGGGAAGAAATCACTGTAGACATGCATAGCAGGGGGAGGCAAATGCAGCCCAAGAGGAAGGAAAAGGGAAGAACCATTGACTAGAGCGGAGAAGAGAAGGGAAGAACAGCCACATCTGTGGCAAGGTACAGGGCTTTTCCTAAGCATTCAAGGCAGCCAAGATGAAGCGGCCTGGATGTAAATCCTGATGTCTCTGTATCAGCAATGCCAGTCGCACTGGGAGGACGTCAACTCAAAATGCCCCAGGCTACAATCTTCCATACCTGCTGTAAGCATTTTTGTGTTGGCATGTCCCTGTTTCTCCACAGGCAGAAGGAAAGGATGGGAGGTAGAGTTATCCTGAATGCTGATGTGATGTTGCCTGCTTCAAATGCAGCTTTTCTCTGACTTTAATAAAATGGGAAGTAAAATATTCATGACATTAGTTACCATAGTCATAATTTGACATGAAACCTGGACCTCTCTGAATTCTTTAGAAAATAACTTTTGCTTAAACAATAATGAAACTAGAACAAAGGAGACTTTCAATACCATAATCTAGTTTGTTAGGCTCCAGCTTTCATCTCATCAGCCACTCCAAAATCTGCAAGTTGTTCCGGCCACAGGCTGGTTTTGAGAGTTATTTTAGCTCTCCCACGGGTCACAAGCTTACAGCACCGCCAAGAAAGGGGCCACACTACACCACTTCATTTTATTTTTAGAGGGAGGATGCGAGATAAAATAAAATAAAAAGGGGATTAAGGAGGGAGTAGAAGAACTCATAAGCAGGGCAGCAAGAGAAAGGCCAAGTCTAATAGGCTTTTGATTTTGCAGAGAATGGTGTGGAGATAATTCTTCCTGACCCCTCTTTCTTAGCACGGTGGCACTGGAGAAGCATGACCCTGTGGTGCAGGGAGGGTGTGCTGGGCACCAGTTTCCCAGAACGTGCCATTTTGTTTGCCCAGTTGACACAGCTTTGCTCTTTCAGGCCAGGCATTTCCCTCTTGCGATATATCCAGACTTGTGTTGGGCAAGGGAGAAGGCCACAGCGCTGCACATCAGTGGCAGAACCATGCTGGGCTCCTAACTCCCAACTCCTTGGAAAAGTGCCTCCACCAGGTAGGGTGCATGCTGATTTCCCAACCTATTTCCCCCCTTTGTTCATCTCACCAAAATTTTAGCATTGACCTTGCATGTCTTTGAGAAAACTTTCTCTCTGCACCATTTTGTTCTTCCTGTCTCCCAGCCCTTAAGCCTTCCTCTAAGAAATTGTGTGCAGCTGGCTGTATGGGATTCTTCCTCCTCTGGATTAGTGAATGCCCAGACCCTTGGGAAAGGACGAAAAGTTTGGATTCATTCATTACTATAGCCCTATCCACACACATCTCCATTTATTGTAATTATTTGGCTAAGTTCCTAAATTATTTCTAAATAATGTTTAAAATTGTTACTTGACGAAGGCTATCAGATCCCTCCTGCTGAACAGTCACACACAAGGTTATGTGTGTGTTATGTATATTAGGCTGGAGGGGCATATTCCCTAAGCGTGATTCCTTACATGTGAATTCTACTCACCCCAAAATAACTAGAGTACTTACAACAATGATTATTTGAATTAGCACCCATCTCTGTATCGCACCTGATGGCAGCCACTTACGAGTCAAAATCTTTGATTCTTCATAAACTGCTGGTTAATATACATTTAATTGGGCTTTTATCTTTATCATTCTCTACTAAATGAGAACCATTTCATTTTGTTCTTTTGTTTGTAATAAAGTCGTAATGGCAGGTTTATGCCAAAAAAGAAAAAAAAAAAAAGAGTACTTGTTTATCTTGACTATCAGGAAATGCATAGCAACAAAAAAGTCACTTTTTCTGTGGAAGCATCCCTCTCAGCCAGCTTCCCTGGAAAATCACGCAGAGCAGTGAGCTTACTGCTGAGCCAGGGATGTAGGGACTGGGACACAGTAAAACTCCTCTTTGAGTGGTGACAGCCGCACTGAGGGTGAAATGTAATAATTTCCCAGTGTGCTGCTGTCCCTAAAGGCACCTTTTAACATCAGTTTAAAAGTTTAACTTGAGTTTCTTCCATTTACCGTAAGAACAGCGAGAAAGGGACATTAAGAAATTGTTTTTAAGCGAGTTTTCCTCACTCTTCAGCCCTGTGATGCTCTAGAAATAATCTCTATGGCAGATCCACTAGCTAGTTCTTTTCACAGACATACGTGTTTTTTCTGGTCATTGTCACAACTATTTATTTATCTTATTTTGGGTTTCACTGAACAACATAGGCTATCACCTCACAAGCATCTCTTCTGAGTCACCCTTTCTTTTCCGAGACTAGTGCACAAATGACTTAATCAGCTTATCCCTGTAAGAAGCCATGGATTTATTTTCTATCCTGTCTGTTTCTGTATAGCATTGCAATAGCGTTCCTCATTTCTTCCAACATGCCTTTCTCTGATCGCCATGTCAGTTCTTTCTCTAACCCCACAAATAAGAGGCTGATAGCAAATCAAAAAAAAAAAGTGTTGGAAACAGTCTTTTACCATCTCTGCAATATCCAGAGCCAGCTGGACAAAATTCCAAACCACAGCAACATATGTATGAACTGAATTTAATTAATCAAAATTCCTCCAACTGAAACTCACATTGAACCACTGGGAAGGATTTCAGCAAAGATATACATACACACTGCAGTCTTCATCTCATTGGATTTATTTAACAGCAGAAACATCTTATTAGGACCTACCTAGAAATCAAAGAGAACTCATAAAATTATATGAAATTATAACAAACTTTGAAACAATTCTAACAGAGTTGTAACAAAAGTGTATAATTCATAACAAAGGGCAATCCTTTCACCTGGGATTGTTTAAATAGCCTAAGTAAAAGTTAAGCGTCTTACTATTGAGCTTCCAAATGTCTAATTGAATAACCATTACCATTTCCAAGTCTCTAGCCATATTTGCCCCAAATGTCCTTTCAATTACAAGTCCTTTGGGCTCACTAACTCCAAATTTCCCTTTAGTACGTTCCCAGCATCTGCTCTGGCAGTGGCTGAAATGCAAAGGATGTCCCAGTAAGACATTCCATGCCCCCAGAGGAATGTCCCTGGGCTGTCTCAGAGTTGTCGCCCTGTTATGGGGTCTTAGTGATTAGAGACAACAACTTAAATGGGAATATGCATTGCTAGCTCCAAACCACCACTACTGCAAGGTTTACCCTTCAATCCCTACAAATATCTATCCAAAAGTAGTTTTTTAATTCTAAAGCAATGTTACTATTAGCTAAAAATGTCCTCCTGCATGACTAACAGGCTGGGTTAAAGGTAATGCAGCTGCATTGCAGCTCTGCCTCCCCATAGCTCCAAAAAGCTTCTGTTACATCAGATTTCCGTGGGCCAGAGGGAAAGCATCATGCTATAGTTTCTTAATTCATCTTTTAATTCTCCCAGTGAGTGTGAATCAGCACTGATTTACAGATTGGTACTTCCCAGCTTCTGCAATTACAGAGAATTGCAGGATGAATTTCAGCTGCCATTGTTGTCCTTCCAGACCTCAAATTTTATAGGCAGAAGAGCTATGCTTCTCTCTAATTCGGTAAGACCCATCCCAGAGTTCGTATCCATGAACTGCACAACAGCATCCCAACATCTCTAGCTTCCCAGGCATTTTTCTCACTGAAACTTGTCCAAATGCATTTTTGCTTTTATTTTGGGTTTCCCCAGGGTAAGAATCATGCAGGTGCAACCAGATCCAGTTAATGTAAACCCTCTGCCCTGAGAAGCCCCTAGCATTGTGCAGCAACTCTGTTGAAGCAGCTGGGGAGCAGTGAACTGTGCTATAACTAAGGGGCTGAGCAAATCCTAGTGTTTTCCAGTGGTTTTGCCTGATTCCCTGAGCTCTGTTTTGGTCACCCGATCCATTTGCTTTGCAAGGAATATGTTTTTTCTTTGCTGTACTCCAGATATGGACCTTCCTCCTGATGCTCCCAGCTGTGATGTCTGGACAGGCAGGCAGTCTGCTGCCCTTGGCTTCCACAAGGGAAACCAGGAGGAGGGACTAAGGAGAAAGAGGTGTGTGAGGACCAGCCTGGATAGAAAAGGAAGAGAGGGAGGGAGGGAGAAAGAGAGGCGGGGAGGCCAAGTCTATCCCAGCTA